TCCGTCTTCTTGCGCCACCAGAGGGCCTTTTAAACAATAGGTAGTCTGTTAACGCTGGTCAGTAGTAGTCCGAATTCAATACGAACGTTTGTTTCTTGAAAATTTGATCACGATTTAAATACTGTACTGTATTTACTTTTAATATTACCGATATGTAATCGAAAAGAAAACATGTTGTATTATCATTAAAAGACAAAGTATTTGTTTCGATTATCCGGATTTTTCCTTATCCGGACTACCTTCATCCCCAATTAGTCCGGATAATCGAGGTTCTACTGTATATAAAATTACTTGTCCTGACTAATTGACTGATTGATTCATCATCGCCCAGAGCAAACCGCTGAACCTGCAGAGGTGAAATTTGGTACAGAGTACATTATGAAAATGCACACTAAGAAGGGATTTTTCGAAATTCCCCCTGCGGGGAGAGGAAAAGGATTAAGGCTTAACCTGAAGAACGGCTTCTACTGTACTATTTTAGATGTGATTTTTTGTTTTCAACTAGTTTAGTCTTCATTGAGTACTTAGGTGTATTAAATTGATAACATTTCAGACATTGTTATAAATATTTTTATATATTTCGATTTTTTAACCAAAAGTTCGAACCGTTTTAAATTCTAATTTGTTATTGTATATTGGTTCGATTATAGAACGATTGTAAACGTTTCAGAAAATTGATCAAATTGAAAACAGTTCGTTTGATTCTCAGCGTTAGGTGTTATATAACAATTATTGTGATTGTTGAAATACTAAATGGTGTTTGCTTGCAAAATTCGCGCAGGCGAAGTCGCGGGTAACAGCTAGTGAATAATATGGATCGAGATGTCTTCCATTTTTCATTTATTTTGATCGACTCCATTGAAGTCATGCTCTTAATAGAAAACTGACTATATAGTCTGTGAATAGTGGCATGAGACAAATACAAATGCTTGTTAAAATGAACTAATTTGTTTTTCCGTTAATACTGTTTGATAGTTCTTGTCGTGAAAACGACCAGTATTGTCAAAACATGGCGGTAAATTTATCTAAAGTAAAAATAATTACAACTATTTCAAACTAGTCTCAAAATGCAAATGATGTGCTTATACTGTATTTCTTAGATAAGAATTTATGCACTTGAATAATACTTTTCAGAAGTTTTTTGCTAATAACATGGGGATGGAAATATTGCACTGTTTGTTTCTGAGTTTTTTTAATGTCTTTGATAATGGTGCACTCGATCGATTTGGTTCTTTCTGAAAAAGTTTGTTTGGCAAAAACTTTTTCTAATAATGTCGAGCCCGAAAACAACTGGATGACTTAGTGCCAAATTTTGTAAAGTTAACGAGACGAGCAAACACATTTTTCTTGTCCGTTATCTCTACATTATGTATTAATGTGTAGAGTTGGTCAGTATTTCAGTCATCTTCGAAATGCAATGAATTTTTTTAGAACATCTCAGATATGTTCTATTGGATTCAAATCTAGAGACCTGATTGATCACTCTGAAGAGCTGGCTGGTCTTTCGAATCTCAAGAAAATTCTTGACAAGAAGTAGCAGTTAAATAGCACTCCGGAAAAATTTTATATAAAAACAAGATAGTCTCTGTTAAAACACCAAAAATGTAGTATTTTGAGTTCCTACAAATATATGAAATGGCATGAATCTGTTCCAAATGAAGTTGGTCTGGATAGTCTTGCTGAACGGGTAAACGATTCTTACTGATGTTGAAAGGATAAATTACATACCCCCTTGTTCTTTACACATAAACATGATCGAGAATCAATCTGTAAATTGAATCTCAAGTCATCTTTTAACAGAAATCTAGCAGATTGGTCTGGGTTTTGGGAATAACCCAGTAATCTGCACTAGGAAGAATTTCTCCCAAGCGAGAAATTGAAGGGATGTAAAATGTCGGGCTTTGCATAAAGATCACTCTCTTATTAAGCCTTGACATATGATTTTCTATATCTTCTTTATTATCCTCGCCTTTTCCTATGTTAATATGGGGTCGGCGTTTCCTTATCTAATACGTTTTTTCCATTTCTCCCTATCAGGGGCTTCTTCTTCTCTTAAGACCCCTTTGGTTCAAGTCTTCTTCCACCTTATCTTTCCAACGCGTCTTTGGTCTTCATCTTTTCCTCTTTTCTTTTGTTATCAGTTTTCTGATTTTCTTTCCAACATAATTGTCGCTTCTTCACTCTACTATTTTGATCCTTTGTTTAATCTGGCTAACACAATTCTTACAATGGCTCATAAGAAAGTCACAATCCACCAGGAAACTCTATGTGCAGCAACACTTTCTCCATTTAACACCTTACTGTTTCTCACTTCTCTCGGATGTTTCCTGCGGAACGAGATAAAATCAATCTGGCAGGCTACCTCTACTCATGTATGTAACCAGTTGGTTCGCTTTCTTCACAGAGTAGGTGTTAACTAGCGCAAGGTCAAAAGCCATAGCATGATCGACTAGTCTTTCTCCCTCTCCATTCCTTTCTCCCACACTCCACCTCCCAAGAACTCTTCTTTCCGCATTCTTCCTCTTCCCAACATGACCATTTAAATCACTCCCACAGATTAATCTCTCGTTCATAGGAACACACATTATAACTTGGTCAAGATCTGTTCAAAATTTTGTATTTTCTTCTCCACTACCTGGCTGAGGACCAGGTACTTAACATAACGCTGTAACTTAACGCTCATAATTCTATCACACCTTCGTTTAACCTCACAGACACTGTCAAAAGACAATGTCTTGAGGTTAAAAGAACTTTATCAATTACGATACAACTCCATTCCTTCCTCCCTTATTCGTTTCACTCACAAACAGCTTGTACCCTTCACAAAGTTCTTTAGCTATATTTCCTTTTTATCTTGTCTCTTGCAGGCACAAAATGTTCACTCTCCTTTGCATAAGATCCACCAACTCTGCTCTTCCCATTCAATGTTTTGATGTTTAATATCGTTTAGTTATAAATATCTTCTGAATATATTAAAGCTTAAAATTTAAATGATACTCATAATTTTTCTAATGCTATTAAATCATTTTAACTGTTATTATTATATGTATAATGATGATTTGATTAATATTTCAGGGTAAAACATGCCCGCTCCTGCTCCACCAGCGGTAAATGGCGAGCCCAGCGAGTTGGAACAACTCCAACTCAAGGCCAACCAAGTTACAGATGAGGTAATCATTTATTTTATACTTTAAAATAAACTAAAAGTCATAGCTTAAGATAAGTTTTATTCATTACAACGCACTAAATTGAAATAGAAAACGGCTACATCCTTTAGGGCCGGTTGCACGAATCTAGTTGCCGGTTCCAGGAAAACTGTCTGAGGAATAAATTTTGCCCTTGTCACTAATATAAAGAAAAATCCACGCTCGTTGCACGAGTTACAATGACCCGTCAGATAGTAAGGATATTTCGGCTAACTGGCCGATAGTTGAGTAGTCGTGTTACACGGAGCAATTGTAAACAGGCTGGAGGAGAAAAACTTTAAGTGAACTAAACCTGGAACGTTCAATATACTAGTCCGTACAAGTTTATTCCTCGCCGGGCGAGAAACTCTCCACCAAAGCCACTTCGCAGTGCAATATTATAAATCCGTATAAATATATAATGCAAGCGTTAACAGTTTGACAGTTAGAGCTTACTTTATTTTTTCAACGTAATGTTTTGTTTCATCCATTTTTCTATCATTTCATAATTCAAATCAGACACTTAATTTGGAATATCTTCTGGCGCCCCTTGACGACGGCGTCCACGTGCGATGTAATGTACACCCTGCATGCTGCGTCATATACGTTATAAAATATATTAATAAGTACTATAATGTGAAATTATTAATTGTCAGAATTAATTGACTCCTAGCTTAAAACTAGCCTTTAAAACCGATTCTCAAAACTTAATCTCTATAAAACGTTATAAGATCTTTCTTAATTAATATTTCGCTAATATCAGGATAAACTGTTTAAATGAGTAAATAAAGGATGTACACAGACGTATCGGAATAGGAACTGGTCGGCCAGATTAAAATTTCTGTACATCAGCAAAATACATGGTAACAATCACCTGAAATCCGTCGGTTAACTGATCTGTCAGTTTATCCCAAAGATTTACACTGGTGCAACAACGAGAATAATTCTGTAGATTAAACTGCATGAGTTTTAATCTCAAGATTAAATGCAATCGGTCCTTAACCTTTAACAGTTTTGTATTTCAACTTCATGCAAGATTGCGTGTTTCCGATTCATTTCATTCTAAAATAGTATTATATTTGGATTCATGATGTAATAATTTACAATATTCAAACTTAGAATTTCGTATTTTTTTTTCTTCAAAAAGATGAAAAAAATTTACATTTTACTGTTACTTATAAATATTTTAAGTCTGTTAAAAGAGCGAAAGAAACTTAATTATCTGTTAAATAAAATTACACTATTCAAAGCATAATGTTTATCATTTTACATGTTTAAACTAATTTTAAGAAATTTTAGACGTTATAAATCTTTATATTTTCAACAATAAATATAGATTTTATATAAATATAAGTTTTGTTCAGGATAGCATTAAAAAATAAATATAATAAATTAGTTGATTTTCAAAAATATTGTGTAAGACTATGAATTAAATACGTTAGCATTTAAATGTAATATTAATTAATGCCACAATAAAACCGGTATTTGGTAATATGAATACTACAATGAAGGCGATATGATTACTACAGTGCGGTTTTTTGTTTAACATTGTCAATCAGTTTACTTTCAACTAAAAGAAAGAAAAAGAAAAAAAAACACAAGTATGCTTGGATTTAAGATTTTCTACATAAGGCTAGGACTCCACTACCGTAAAAACGGCGTAAAATCCCCTCGCCGTAAAAGCTTTTAATCACGTGACCTATTTGCGTTTGCGCTCGGATTACGGTGGAGGTCCGGCTAGCGCGAAGTTTTTACGGCGACGGTGCTGCTCCAAGTGTCGAAAGTAAATACTTCTTCGCACNGGGCGTAAAATTAGATGAAGTATTGCTGAAACATGGAAAACTGTCTTACTTCCAAACAAAGAGAACGATTCGGACGTTCTCTCGTCCCCTGATCCCTTTTGAGGTTGACATTTAGTTCCCCAAATAACAGCTAGATGAAAGCGCGTTAACCACGAATAAACAGACGTCCCCGTCTTACCCCATGGCCACATCTTGCACCACTTTCTCCTATATATATATATATTTCTCCTCAAAATTGTATTCAAATTATGAATGTAAAGTATAATTTGAATAAAATCTTGGAGATATCTATTTTTATAAAATTAACTTTTATTAATTTAAAGTTAAGAATAAATTCATAAATATCAAATCAATAATTGTGTAAATGAAAATCGATAAAGGTTAAGTTTGTATATAAGAATTTTATTCATATGTCAAAGAGATCAGAATGGAGGCAGGACTTTAAAAATCTGATAAATATAATTAAATATATACTGTATAAAAGTTAGTACCTAATAGGGTCTCTGTTTATATGCAGCTTTCTTCATTCCAGGAATTCTCGAAAAAATGAAGCCATTTCCGGGAATACTGGGAAATCCAGGAATTAATGATTTTGTAAAAATTATGAGATTACAGTAATTTGCTGGAGGCAAATAAAACATTACATATAATTAAAATTAAGAATAAATATAAATATCATGCTCTTTTATTTTAAAAATAATAAAAATAAACCGGTTTTTAATCTAGTTTTTTTATGTATTTAGCTAATACAAAAAAATAAAAAATAATAAAAATAAAACAAGTTAAAACATTAGAAACAATGATATCGTTCCTCTATCTAAAAACGTTAAAAATTCAGTCAATATTTTAAAAATAGAAGTATCGATTATTTATATTTTTTTAAAGAAACTATCAAGAAGATAAATAAAAATGTTAAAAAACTGCTCCTTCTGATTCGACAGAAGTTGGAGGAATAGTTTTCAGTTTACCAAGTAAATTCATGATGTTTAAAGCTGCATTCTCTTTTGCCTCAAATTACTACAGTTCTTCGATTGTTTGTTTGGCATGGAAAAGTTGAACAGTGTATCTTTTTTTCATTGATGGCATTGCTGCTTCTACTATTGTCTGCTAATGTCACGGATTGTGCAATTTCCTGACTTATGTCATGTTCTGAATGTGAAGAGTAGACTGTTCCGTATTCATTGGAAAGTCTTGCAACACCATTACATATTCAGATAATGATTCCTATTTGGCAAAATAGTCTAGCCAGGAATAACTGCACAAATTTGTATTTTCTTCAGCGTTTAAATACTTAATGTGCAGTACCTTCTAGGATATATTTTTCCTCCTTGGAAAAATACATTAATAATGATTGTTTTCGCTTCATCAATAGAAGTGCTCTCTTCGCTGTCCTCAACTGCTTTGCGCCTATAAATTCGACTGTTTATTGATCAGGTCAATTTATATGTTGAATGCATCATTTATAAATGTCCAATTAACACATTTGTATTAATACGAGGTTAGATAGATTAACCTCGGCACAATAATTTAAAGATTTATTGTTTACAATTGCACTCTCTTCATTGGATTTTTTAATATAATAAAAATATATTAAAATGAAATACTATTTAAAAAACGAATCAGCAAGGTACCGTACATTATGAAGATAGATGAATCTTAGAATCGAGTCTGTGAGCAATGCGGGCAGCTAAATTTCCGAAGTTCATACAGTATCATACAGAGAGAATAAAAATTGTGATATTTTTGAATTAAAAAGTATAATCTGAAAATTATTGTTTTATGTATTGTGATGATTTAGTCAGTAACATTTGTATGTCTCTCTATTTTTGGTGCAGAAAGAAATAAAATTTCGGGATTTCCAGGGATACATCTAATTTTCGGAATTTTCAAATACAAAAAAAAATTCAGTCTCAAGGGAAAAAACCCTAGTATTAAGTATCTATTCCACTAGAGAATAGCAGAAGAAATCTGATTAGAAGCAAAATTTGATTTGTCATATTAATAGTTAATTATGTTTTAATTCTTGAAGAAAGAAAAAAAAAGAAAATTAAAAAACATTCTCATGGAAATTTAATCGAAACAAAACATAGTGGAATACTAACTAATTCGAAATTGCATAAACTTTATTAATCGATAAAAATAACTATTTTAATAAGAATTTAACAGTAAATTGGAAAAGTCAGTAAAGTACATAATAGATTTTAATAATTTAACATAAAACTTAAAAAAAATGAAAAATAACGTTACGTGACTTAAAATATAATGTCATTGGTTTATTGGCCTACTTCAGAACTGTCCGTGTGCATACAATTAATATCATTTACATTAATATTTTAAAATTTGTTGTTGTTTAAAGTAAGTTTTAAACTTTTCATTTAGATAGTAGAGATCGATGAATAAATTTTTGATAAATTCTTAAATGATACAGCATTATAGAAATTATTTACGAAAACGTGGAACAAGTATCTCTCTAAAGTTCGTTTTTGTCATCATTAAAATTACTGGCAGTTGAGTATTAGTTTTTGTAATTATTTTTCTCCTGAATTTTAATTCCACAAAATCTTACAATATTGCATATGCTGTTTGCATATAATGTAAATATTGATTTATCGAAAGCATTGTACGTCCCCAATATTACTTATGACTGAAAATTTCAAATTATAAATTTAGAAATGTTTAATATGAAATGGAATCTTTGGTTTGCTTTTAGTATAATTTTGCTTTTTTCAAAATATAGTGAATATCTTAAGTATATGATGTGAATATTGATTCTTAATAGAAAAAAAATAATGTTACTGCTTCTACTATTGTCTGCTAATGTCACGGATTGTGCAATTTCCTGACTTATGTCATGTTCTGAATGTGAAGAGTAGACTGTTCCGTATTCATTGAAAAGTCTTGCANATTACATGTAAATGCACCATCTTGCCCCACCTAGGGGTAAGATGGTGGATATTATTTTTATATACAAGAAGGACAAATTAAAATGGTTAAACTGTCGTTTTCTTCAATATTGGCACAAGAACAGTGTGCCCATTTATCACAACGGCTATATTTAGCCCACTCTCTGTAGATACAGAGTATAACCCTCTACAATAGAGGCATTCTACAGTTAAAAGACGTCAAGTATCCAACAATATATTAACTAGAAGACTTATTTATTAATGGAACATTAGCGATAAA